ACTCTCAGTGAGATGGATTGACACAGTGGCTGCAACAATGGGCTCATGCACAGCAACAATTGTGAGGATGGCGCAGGACCGGGCAGGGTTTCATTCTGTGGTGCATAGGGTCGCTATGGATCGGAACCAACTCAGCGGCATGTAACAACAACAAAAACAACTTCTTTAATTTAATTTTCAGAGAGTTTCAGATATCCCTTCCACTTCTGGGTGATTTGGGTAGATTTGTGTAGATTTCTTTCAAAATAAAAAATGTTTGAGAACAATTCATCGTAAGCCTTTTTGTTTGTGAAAAGGAGGTTTGTGACTCCACATTGGAGTGACCGTGATGTTCATTTTAAACTCTGATGTTTTGTGCCGTTCAAAGAAATTATAGCAGATGAAATAGACCACCTGGAGACAGAAAAATTAAATTCTTGTTCTGTTACTTTCTGTACCAATCAACTCACCTCTCTATCCCTGTTTCCTCACTAGTAAAAGTATGGACAATTATAGCCACGTCTCTACCTCACAGGGATATTATCAAGGAAAATAAAATGTTGAACATATTCTGCTGTCTCTTTTGCTTGGCATCAAGACTGCAGAAGCGGGAATGCCTTTACATAGCCATGGGGAAACCATTCCACAATATACATAAATCCAATATATGTAAAACTGACAAAATTCTATAGTTAATGATAGATTACATCTGCCAGTGGGGCCAGTAGGAGGGAGTGGGGCAAATCTCAAAGAATGAAGAGGATTGGCAGACACTTCCTTCTCCACAAAGCCTAGGCTAAATCTGATGTTTAACAATGCAAAACCCCCGGTAGCCTGGTGACTGCTGTAAAACTTATGCCAATTCTATCTGTGAGGAAATACATTTCTGACCCTCCAACTTCATTAGACCAAGGAAGGATCTAGCATTACTATGCACTGTGACAACTCCTTAATGTACAAATAATAATCCATATACCATCAGCCAGGAATCCTATGGCACTAAATTTAACCTGACCAAGAATCTGTGAAAAAGAGGCATAGCTTTCCTTTAACTGGTATAAGGCCTGAAGAAGAAAACATCAAAAAAATATGTTTGGTTCTGGGGTAGATTACATCAAACCTACTTAAACACAAATCTTGGAAGAAGTACAGCCAGAATATTCCTTAGAAGCAAGAATGGTGAGACTTCGTCTCACATACTTTAAACATGTTATCAGGAAGGACTAATCCCTGGAGAAGGACAACATGCTTGGTAAAGTGGAGGGTCAGCAAAAAAGAGGAAGACCTTCAATGAAATGGATTGATGCAGTGGCTGCAACAATGCACTGAAGCATAGCAATGATTGTGAGGATGGCAGAGGACCAGGCAGTGTTTCGTTCTGTTGTACGTAGGGTCGCTATGAGTCAGAATTCTCTTGATGGCACCTAACAACAACAACTTAAACATAATATGTTTGAAATGTAGACTTTTATAGAGACTGTTTTTAGTTGTATGGTCTCTATGTCAGAAATTACCTAATCCCTCTGTGTCCAGTTCGCTTATCTATTATGAAATATAATACCAATAACTATCTCATGCAATTGTTGTGAAGATTAATGAATTAATATCCATAAAGTACTAAGAACAGTTGATGGCACACAGTAGACTGAGTTGGGCAGGCAATAGTGTGAATGAATACCTAGTCCAAATTCACTGTTTCCTGTACTAATCTTGCCAAGTTAGGGTTCTTATTACATTTTTCCACTGACTTTTAGAAATACATTCCAGTTACATGACAATCAGAAGCAAGAGTAACTGGATTCTGAATCCTCTAAGTTTTCTCCTTTATCCTGGGGATTCATTGATGTTCCAGTTAAGGACAGCTTTCATCAAGTAGTTGTGTATTTTAGAAATGGAAAAAGCAGAAAGGGAGATATTTGCAAGAGTGTCAAAAAATGTTTAGATTTAGGGTATTTTAAGAGTTTAGTCTTTCTAGGTTGCAATTCATGGCTTCTCAATGAAGGGAAATACAGGATTCCCAGAAAATAAGCTCTAAATGTTGGTCAGGGAGAAAGAAGGGCTGATAAGATATATTCTGCAGAAAAAAAAAATCTAGCTGAAGACCCTCACCATGTTTGCAACAGGCAGTTACTCAGTTCTCTATAATTGCCTCTGTCCACACTTGTGATCTGAAACAGCAATTCCCTTTGATGACCAAGGGCTGATAAAGTGAGGATTTTTTTTTAAAGAAAGAACAGAAAAAGCAGCTCTATTAAGGATACAAATAAAGATGCAAGTCCAGAACTTGTTTAAGAAGGAAAGGGTTTCTTGCTTTTGGTAACATCTTTGAAACCTAATAAAGATAAATTAAATGCTCATGACGGAGAAAATTAGATAATGCAAAGAACATGGGCTTTCCTGAAACATAGACCTAGTTTTGAAACTTCCTTCTTACATATGAGCTGTGTGATCTTGGAAAAGCTGCCTAACTTCTCTGAGGATCAGAAGCTCTAATGTAGAGGCTATGGGGAAGTGTTGAGTGTTTTAAATAAAGCAAATTATACCACTCACCTCGAACATAGTGGAAACTAAATAAATATTAGCTAATTTGTCTTTTTTCCTTTGTTTTGCTTCTTTTCCGAGTTTATACTTCATTTTGGGCATTTTGAAGCCCTGGTGGAGCAGTGGTTAAGAGCTACGGCTACTAACCAAATGGTCGGCAGTTCGAATCCACCAGCTGCTCCTTGGAAACCCTGTGGGGCCATTCTCCTCTGTCCTATAGGGTCACTATGAGTCAGAATCGAATTAACGACAGTGGGTTTTTTGGTTGGGCATTTATTTATTTTAAGTTTCTTCTTCACGTTGCTCTTTAAATGGTTCTTAAGGAATTCATGTTTTATTCTACTGTGCTGATAAACATATTGAATACAGGAACTTTTTAAATCTCACCACTGCATACTAATAGCCTCCTATATCCTCTACACTGTAATTACATGTTGAAATAATTAGTCCCCAAATCCCAAAGACCGGATTATGTATTCCATGAAGAAGTACACTGCTCTGTGCTTCTTTAAGCAGCCCTTAAGACACTAGACTGTAGTTTCTTGTTTAATTTCTGGCTCTCCCACTAATTATAATTTTCATGAGACAAGGGACTGTGTTTTATTTACCATTATAACCCAACGCCTATCACAGTGCCTGGCGTAACTAGTCACACAAGAAACATTTATTTAAGACTGATTATTCCCTAGACAAGCAAACATTTTAAGAAGGCCATGAATATGTTACTCAATAGTATGAGTTTAAACAGAAGCTTTTCTCCTATCTCCCAGGTACTAAATCTGCTATGACACGCAGGGAGTAGTACTTAATTCAATGGTTTGTTACATATTTCAGAAGAACTACTAAATCTTTATAATTTAATTCTACTTTTATAAGGATCTGGGGAAAACTGTCTCCTCTTGAAGATCTAGCTTTTTAAAATCTTTAAGAAAAAGAGGAATAAAAGTAAGAATGTATTGAAAGTCTCTTATTTGCAAGGCCCAGTGATCCTCACAACAATATAGAAAGTGTTATTATTCTCATTTTACAGATTAAGAATTGAAGGCTCACAAAGGCAAAGTGATTTGTCCAAGTCACTCACTGAGTAATTAGCCAAGCTGAAACTTGGGTCTCAGCTACTCCTAAGTCCATACCCTCTCCACTATATTGTATCTCAAAAAGATGCAAGTCTTGAACAACCGCCTTTCTGTCTTCATGACAATCTTATTCTTTCTTGTCCAAAGATAGCTTCTGCTGAATAGTCTAGGTTTTTGTTAATAGAGCAAGAAAGGGATGAGGACTCTATAAGAAAAAGCAAGGTCAGGTTTTGAAAGCTTGATTTTTAGGTGATGGTCTGAGGAGAAAAGACAAACACAAGTTAAACAATCAACTTGTCTAGAGAACTGGTATTTCATATATTCACACTTTGTTATCTACAAAATAATGGGGATGAGAAAAAAGTCTTTCCTAACTATTGCAGACAGCACAGATTGAGGGGCAAGATTGGACTGCTACCATGAATTTCCCCTGAAGTGAAGCCACTAGACAGACTCTCTAGGAATGCCAGCTCCTATTTTTATATCTTTTCTTCCATTCTCCTTTCTCTGAGAAAGCAGTGTCTGTTAACCCAGAAAGGTCTCTGGGTAGCACAAATGATTTGCTTGGGTTACTAACTTAAAGGTTGGAAGTTTGAACCCACCCAGTGGTGTCACAGAAAAAAGGCCTGATGATCGGCTTCCATAACGATTACAGCTAAGAAAACCCTAAGAAGCAATTCTACTGTGCAACACATGGGGTGGCCATGAGTCAGAATCAACTCAACGGCAACAGATTGTTTTTTGGGTTTGTTATTCCAAAGGCTGTCTAAGAGCCCACATAGATTATTGCTGTCAGTGTGGAATGAGACTGAAGCTGCTAACACAGAGCTACTTCCTTGTTTGACAATAGTCGTAGAGAGAGTAGTATATGAAGGACAGAAAACAGGACGGTAGTGTTACTATTTATATTTACACTGAATTGTTTAGTTTGCATCACTCTTCATTCACAGGTCTACCTATTAGAACCAAAACATTATAATTTGGTAGGGAGGAAACAGTCAAAATCTGGTATTAGAAAATTCAATTTATTTCAGTGCCTCCTCCTCATCTAATGGATAAAGTCAAGCTTTTTAGCGGGGTGTATAAAGTGCCCCCCTACTCTCTGTCAACATCCTCTACTGCTTCATCTCCCCACGTTTTGTGGTAGAACTGATTCTATTTCCACACAAATGTTCTGCTGTTTCCTTTGCTTGTTTTATATCCTGTGATGACTTGTGCGGTTCCGACTTAATTAAGCAGGGAACTGCATTTCCCAGAACCTTGTTCCCTATATGGTTTTAGGTTAGAGGTGGCCCAAAGAGGAACTTGTGACAGATTTGGAAAGCAGAAGTGCAGTGGCAGTCATTACTCTGTGAAAGTGTTTCCAGGCAGACAGGGTGATGGACAGACACAGAAGTACTGACAGGTTCCAGCTTGGTTTCATCCTTTTCTTCCCTGCGCCAGGCTCTTCCTCCTGGCAATGGCACTACTGACCCACAGTGGCCACAGATTTACCACCAGATCTCTGGCTAAGGACCCTGAGAGGCAGTAGCTATTCAGAGGCAACAGTGACCATAAACCTCTCCACTAGTTCTGTCTTGGTGGCCTTGCTTTCTTTTTTGGATGAGGTCTTTATTTTGCTTTCTGACCCAGGCTGATTCATCTTAGGACCCATGCCAATATGCTGAGCATGCTTCCTGGCTACTGTGAAAATGTGTACGTAAATGCCTACCATTACTATGCCAGGGAGAAAGAATGCTACAAAGTAGGCCAGCATGCCCCAGAGCTTGTTAAATATCAGCACACACAAACCTGTGCAGTCTTTGGCTGCAACAAAATCTTCTGCACCAATTACGTTTAATTCTGAGAATACCAGGTCAAAAGCAAAAAAGATTGGGAAGGACCAACTGATAAATAGAAAGACCACTATGACAGGGATGGTAATTTTGGTGACATAATGCAATGGGTCACAAACAGCATAGTAGCTGTCAACTGAGATGAAGCAGAGATGAAAAATGGAGGTGGTGCAGAGCATGATGTCGCAACAGCTGTGGACTTTGCAAAAGAGGTCTCCAAAGTACCAGCAGGACTCAATGGACCTGATCATACTGAAGGGCATGACGACACAGCTCAGCAAAAAGTCGGTGGTGGCCATAGAGAGGATCTATGGAAGAAAGGCCTAGTGATCTGCTTCTGTAAAGATTACAATCAAGAACACCCTGTGAAACAATTCTACTCTGTAACACATGTGGTCATCATGGGTCAGAATCTGATCTAGGGCAATTGATTTGGTTTGTGTTTTTTCTATTTGTTTATGGATATGTCTGTGCATCTCTGGAAACCTACATGAGAAATTAATTTTCTCTGTAGAAGGTGCTGGAAAACTAGAGGACTAGGATTGGAGAGAGATTTGCTTTTCAGTGTATACAGTTTTTGTTTCTTTTAAATTTTTTAAATGTGCATTTATTATCTTTAAAATAACTAAAATTAAAAAAATTTTTGTCACATATTAATAAACATTTTTATTTTAATCAAAATAATTATCACTTTATTTTAGCTATAGAGAAGGTCTAAAGAATCCTTATGTTTATGATTGTAAAGGTTCTGAATTAGGTACGGAAATGATGAAGTAAATCAAACCAGTAGTATTAGTATAGTTTGTGTTCAGTTTAGGCATAATCTGTATATATTTGTCATTTTTAATATTTTAGTATTTAGTGTTTAAGAGAATTTGGTATATTAGTGTATTTACCAGAATAGTTTTTTGTGATTTCCATTTAAAGTGTGTTATTAAGTAATTGATTTAGATGTGATTTGCAATGTGAAAGCAGAAGAACAAGAGTTCTCTAAGTTTATAAATACTATTATTATTTTTAAGAACCCTAAGATTCCTGTATTTGTAAAAATTTCATTAAGTTTATAAGAATTGTTTAAGTATTGGGAAAGGTTTTTTGTATTCGTCTAACAATTATACTACTGCAAAAGGAAATTAAATAGTTTAATTTGATAAATGCAAATAAAATATTAATGGAATTCAATTAATTGGGCTGAAATTGCCCTTTTAAAATCTATTGTTTAAAGTTATTAAATATCTAGACAGAATAGCAAATGTTATAAGCTAAACAAAATTTTGAGGAACAGCCAGATTTTTAAATATTTTGTTATAAATCTAGCATTAATTTTAATAGTCAAAATTACCTCCAATAATCTTTCCTGTACACAAAAGCCATTCTCAGGGACACTAGAAATCTCACGTTGAGATTTTAAGACTAATCTTAAAATAAAAAAGGAAGTTGCCAAGTGGAGGAGGAGGATGAGTGGCCACTCAAGATAGAGCAAACAGGGGTGAAAGACTTACTGGGGGACTAGTGACACCTTGGGAGGAGTGTGAAGGCTAGAAGAGTGAGCCAACATGGAAATACAAAGAAAGGCCACGTCAGGCTTGTCTAGTACTTGATGCCTTTGAGTAGAACTTCAAAACGTTATCTCAGAGCAATGAAAAGCTACATTAGTCAGGTGTGCAGCAGGAAACAGATGGCATAATCAACCTGAGTGATCGAGAAGAGTTTAATAAAGGGACTATTTACAAAAGTGTGGGCATTGGTTAAGAAAACAAGGAAGGAACAGTATGGTACCTGGGGCAGCAATAGCGGCAAATCACCACCCTAGGCCGGAAGTGGCAGGAGAAGGATGCAGTTTTAGGAATTTCCACGGTAGAGCTGTATGGATAAGAACTCCAGATGGCTTCTAGAGGAACATAGCCAGCCCCAGGCAATTTGGCAGAGAGGTTGCCACATATATTAATACCTATTTTTACTTACTTTAGCCAACGGGATCATCACTTAGAGATAAGTAGCCTGATTTCACCGTCATTCCACCCTCTGATCTCCTGTGGGTGCTTCCCACTGGTAAAATTCCACCGAAACCCCAGAGCCAGGTCAGCCTCCTGTGAAGAGCAGGATGGAGAAGGGTGGGATAAACAGAAGCAATCCAGCACAGAAACCTTCTAAGATAGTTAAGAATAAAGTGCCAAGTTCAGATAGCTGTGCAGAATAGACTGGAAAGCCCTGAAACTGGAGCCAAGATGATTACCAAATGGATGCAAAAGTCTGTTCAAGAAATGAAGAGGGCCTGGACTCAGACTAGGACAGCATCAGTGGGAGGGGTGGTGGGTGTATGCTACAGATGAATCTCTAAATAAATATTTATATCCTTTACTGAAGACTCGATATCTAGCTCCATGATTCCACACCGGTTTCATATAAACTTACAGCTATATATTGCCTGCAACTAGCTAGCTAAGTGTATCCAAATAGATCACTCCATTTATTCTTAGATCAGTTTGTATCTAGAGACAGTCCTCAATCTAACAACCACGTGCCAATATCCTCCATACTAAAGCTGATTGATTCTGTACTACTCTCTCCCCGCTTTTGTTGTTGTTAGGTGTTGTAGGCTCGGTTCCCACTCATAGTGACCCTATGTACAACAGAATGAAACACTGCCAGGTCCTGCGCCATCCTCACAATCGTTCTCTGACAACCCCTAAAGCACTGTCATGAGAAGCACATGGACACACAACACACACACAGTGGAGTTTTTACAGTAGAGGAAGAGTTGAAAAGTAGAGAAACCAATGAGAATTTAAAAAGCAAGAACAGAGAGGAAGGCAAATGTAGTAAAAGGATTACTGGGCATGAACTGCCTGTCATTAACAAACCGGGGTAAGTGATGTCCTCATCTGTGAAGGAGAAGGCATGACTAGGGGATACAGTCTCTGCCCTACAGTCCAGACTGGGTCTCCAGTTCTGTGGGATTGTCAGGAAGAAGGATCCTGGCAGTGCCACTCACACCTAATATCTCAAGTCCCTGGATGGTGTAAATGGTTAACTGGATTGGCTTCTAACCAAGAAGTTGGAGGTTCAGGTCCACCAAGAGGCTGTTTAGAAGAAAAGCTTAGCAAGCTACTTATAAAAAATCAACCATCGAAAGTCCTATGGAGCACAGTTCTGCTTTAACACGTACGGCGTCCCCATGAGTCGGAATAGACTCAATGGTAACCGAGGTTTTTTGTTTTAGACTGTCTAAATTGCTCACCTCAAGACCAATAGTTTGGGTTAGTAAATATCCTTTGGTAAACATGAAAATACTTCACCACTAACAACTGCACATTTATTTTTCTCCTAACAAGCAGAAGTAAAGTGGAGGTAACCGGTACTAAATAATATTGCCCTTCAGAAGCTGAGCCTGAGTAATTTTCCATAGTTGATTCTAGGTCACAGGGCATCTGGGTATTGAGAGAGAAAAGCTCGGAAGAGAGATGAGAAAGAGCCAAGCGTAAAATTTCTTCTTTCAAAGTTTGACCTAGGGTTGACCTTGATCCAGAAAAAGGGGGAAGATTTAACCTTCTGCTCCTCCTCTGGAAACCCTGCTGGCGTAGTGGTTAAGAGCTATGGCTGCTAACCATTTCAAATCCACCAGGCCATCCTTGGAAACACTATGGGGCAGTTCTACTCTATCCTACAGGGTCGCTCTGAGTCGGAGTTGACTCGATGGCAATGGGTCTGTTTTTTTTGGTGGCTCCTCCTCTGCTCCCTCCCCCATCGTATTTTCAGGTACAAGGGCATGTAGAAATCATTGTTACATGCGCTCATATATTTCCCAACCTGTGAAGTAAAAGAAACACTCTGTATGTTAATGCTTCACAGAAGACTCACTGGAAGAATTGTCACCAAATCTTAATGATCTGACTTAAATCATAGGCATTGTGGTATGGATGAAATTTATTTGGCAGGGCCCCAGGGCAGGGCTTCCAGAAAAAGTGGTTGAAACAGCTACAAGGAGAGGCCTTGTGATTCCTGGCCAATGGTGGAGACATAACACACAGATTAAGAAGCTAGAGACAGAGGAAACAGTAAGCCATTTCAAATGTAAACCACACAGTGAAAAGCCACAAGAGTAAAAGCTCACATTGCATATGGTGATTTGCAGTCTGTTTCTCCTTTGGCATCCTCTTTGTAGTGAGCTTCAAGGTATTAGAAAATAACTGAAGGATTTGTATAATGATGGTTAACGATTCTTCCAAAAGAGCCCTGGTGACACGATGGTTAAATGCTTGGCTGCTAACCGAAAGGTTAGCAGTTCGAACCTACCCAGTGGCTCTACTGGAGAAAGATGTGGCAATCTGGTTCTGTAAAGATTACAGCCTAGGAAACCCTATGGGGCAGTCCTACTCTATCAGATGGGGTTGCTGTAAGTTGACATTGACTGGATAGCACCTAACAACAATAATTCTTCCAAGCTGAATGATAGGGTGGACTACTAGTTGATAATGGAGTCCAACCTTAAGTCAAACTCCCTCCATGGCTCCACAGGTGACATTGATTTTTCCTTTTCTGAATTCCTAGAGTGGAATCTGATAAGAACCAAAACTGATAGCACTTTATTTTCTCTATTCTTACATTGGTCTTTAATTGTCTCATGTATATAAACACAGTTCAACCTATCTTGAACTGTGTTTTAGATTTCTTTTGTACATTTTCCCCACCACTCAGAGGTGAGTGAAGGTTGGATACAGAGTTCACAATTAATAATTGATTTGCTATCATTGATTATCAATTAATGATTAATATTTGATTGGTTAAAGTTATTGAATTTAGCTCATGTTCAGATTATACAGCACTCAACTAGATTATTGAAATTTAATGGTATAATATTTGCAGTGATGTGGGGATGTCAGTCATATGAGACAGGTCAAAATAATACCTGTCATTTTCAATATTTGATTCACTTTTGTAATGATCTTTTATTAATGTGCTTCAGCAAACAGATCTGCAGTTTCTGAATGAGAGCTAAATATTTTTCCTGATACTATGTGCTTAAGAGCTTTCCAAAACCATGGATAAAAAAATCCATGAATGAGGGGGTTGTAAGTGGAGTTGAAGTATCCAAGCCACACTAGAAGATCAAGTACTATTATGGGAGTGGAGTAGTCTAAATACGGGTCAATCAAAACAGCAAGAAAACAAGGCAACCAGCAAGCTAGAAACACTCCCACTACTATACCCAGGGTCTTAGCTGCTTTGCTGTCCTTTTTCTTGGATAGGTTTTTTTCTCTTCCCCCTTTGTGTTTTCAGGCTTGTTGCTGATGACCCGAGCATGTCGTTTGGAAACGATAAAGATTTTCCTATAAATACCAACCATGATAGAGCCTGGAGTAAAAAAGCATGTAGTGAACAATATTGTCCCCCCAAATTTGTTGTGAGTAAGTGCACAGAATTTGAAGCAAGCAACAAGAATCTCATAACTCTGCATACCAGAAACATTAGCCTCAGACAGAACTAAACAGAAGGAAAAGAAAGCAGGGGCCGTCCGGCGAAATGCTAGCAGTCGCTTTATCATGGAGATGGTCATTGTGGTCCTGTAGTGTAAAGGGTAACATACAGCATAAAATCGATCAATAGCAATGGAACAGAGATGGAAAATGGAGGTTAGGCTCAGCATCATGTCAAAGCTTGTGTGGAATTTACAAAAGCCATCCCCAAAATACCAGCAGCTCTGCACTGATCGCACCGTGCTGTATGGCATAATGACAAAACCCAGCAGAAAGTCTGTGGTTGCCATGGAGAGGATCAGAAAGTTTGTGGGAGAGTGAAGCTGTTTGAAATGAGAGATGGAAATCATTATAACCAAGTTTCCGAAGATAGTGATAACCATGGCTGCAGTCGTAACCGAATACATTACCACCGCACCCGGACATGAAAAGGGCGGTTGGTGGGAGGACAGGATTTATTTCCAAACTTTGGACAGCTGGATAGGTCTTCAGGAATATAAGTCAGATCCATGGCACTTTATCACTTTGAATTCCTTGTACAAAGATGAGTCAGTGTTTCTTCTCTTCTTAAAATGTTTCCAGTATATTTCAGCTCCTCATGGAACAATAAAGTCCAGAGTTACCTGTTACTAGATCATTTCAATTATAATTCATTTTAATATTTAAAATTGTATCAACTGTGCTTGCTTTCTGAAGTATTTTACCAGATTAGAAAAAAATGAAAAAGTTCAGTTTCTTATTCTTAATTGTTCTATTTAGTCTATTCCATCCATCCATTTATTCATTCAATATGGGTTTATCTATTGACTGCTCTGTTTCTGTCAGAAGTTTTTCAGGAGTTTATGGTCAACTTTCACCTTTACTAGTCACTTTTCTAGGAACTCTTTTGGAGTACAACAAGCTAACATCTCTTTCACCATAAAAATATTTAGTACAAAAAAGCTAAGTGAAATCACAATGTTTTTCTATGTGCATTCTTTCAATAATTTGAAATCCGCATTTGTAAAATTCCTGCAGGTGTCTTAAGAGTTAAAAATGTCCCGTTGCTATTAAAATATACAGAAAGTCACATACCTATGAGCTAAACCATGCACCTGGCTCAACAAGTTTCATAGCTTCTGTACTCTCTACTTCTTTCCTCTTCTCTTCCCTCTGCCATCCTCTTCTGTCTTATCACTTATCTGAGATTCTAGCTAATGAAGCCTGTCTTACGCTGCACCCTGAGTGACCCATAAAGATCACACCCAGACCGGTCAAATCTCACATGGTTCTTGGTGGACACAGTGGACTGAACAAAAGAGGGTGAACAAACTGGCATAAATCCAGATTTCAATAACTTATTCCACCTGCTTTACTAATTGCTTTGGGGTATATAAAAAACCAAACCCATTGCTGTCAAGTTGATTCCAACTCATAGTGACCCTATAGTATATACCACCATGAAAAATAGCTCACTGGTAGGCTGTAGAGAAGCTTGACATTTGCTCATAACAAAGGATCAAGTCTATCTAATGGACTACAGAAAAGTGGGTCCAATCCTGAGTGAACCAGACATATGAGACACTCTTGGCCAATGTCAGGTTTTCCCAAGCCATGGAGGTTCAACCTTACTGTGCATTTAGCAAGTTTATCTATTCAGGCAGATTCAACTTTGTTTTCTCCTTAGGACCCTAAGAAAGAGTACAAGACAGGTCCCTTGGTTGCAAGGGATCAGAGACTCCCATCATTCCTTTTATTCTTTCACTCTTTCCTGACTGAGGGGGAAAAGAAAGGACCCTTGTCATAACAAAAGAGCCTGGATGATGTTATCTAGAGCAGCTTCTTATTCCCAAGTCCCAGGAAGGTTTCTCTTTGGAGGTAGAAGCTGATTGTTCCACGCTCCTTGGTTTGCTCTATCTAGGTTAGTGGTTTATATCATTTACTTCCAAAGAGGGTGGTTGCAAAAGAGTCTTAGATTGGGAGTTTTTTTCCTAGTCCAAGTTCTGCTGCTAGCTAGCTGTGAGATCCCTGGAGAACTGAGATGTACTGGACTAGATAAATTTTATAAGCCCTTCAGCTGTAAAAATCTGGGAATTATGCTAATAGAAATGTCATTACAAAAATATTTACATAAGTTTATTACGTGATGCAGTTTCCAGGCCCCTTGCTATCCTAAGCTTTCTCCTACATTCCACAGTATGGTTTTAGAATCAGGTGGACCTAGGTTTGATTTTTGGCTCCACCACTTATTAATTATATTACTTTGGACATGTTGTTTAATCTCTCTGAGCCTCAGTTTCCTCTTTTGTAAAATAAGAGTGATGCACCCTACTTTACATGTTTGATTTAAAGATTAGATAATGTATGAAAACCTGGCATGTATCTAGGAAGCACTCAATGAAGCCCCTATTAACCAGCTTTAACAAACTAGCAATGTTTTATGGAAAACTATACTCTGATTTCTAAATAACTTATTTGCAAATAAGCTTTTATTTTCCTATGTAGATATTTGAGGCCATTAGCCTTGCTCCTAACCTCTTCGCTTTTTTTCCTCATAACAATTATGGCACCCACTTCAATTTTTCTTCTCTTTTATGAGTCTTACATGTAATTATAGAGTTACATAATTATATTAAACCACATAACCTCTACGAAATCATCATTTTGTAGGTTAAAAATGTACAAGTATTGTCAATTTCATATAGTTCAACCTAACAATTTTCACTGAGATTATTTCCTTTCTCCCTCAAATTTCAGTTTCAAGCACTGACTGATAATAAGGTTGGCATATCTCCAGCCATATACATTTGCAAAGGATCAGATTTGCTAGGCAAGATTATATTATGGACGGAAGGCCAATTAAGTGCTTGGCTGCTAACCAAATTTTGGCATTCAAACCCACCCAGCAGCTCTTCAGGAGAAAAACCTGGCCTGGTGATCTGCTTCCATAAAGATTACAGCCAAGAAAACCCTATGGGGCAGTTCTACTCTGTCACATGCGGTTGCTATGAATCAGAATCCACTTGATCGCACCAACAACTACAGCAAGGCTTACTGAAGATAATATTCAATAGGCTGGGTACATTCATTTCAATAGGAGTCAGTGTGACTCAATAACAAACTCTAGGTTCAGAATCTAATTTTCATAGTCAAAGTATGAATATTATATAAACTGTAGTAGAAAATGGGACTCTATGACCCGTGATTCTAACAGAAGGAGGCAGGTATTTGCACATACTGTCCATAAGACATCAAATAACACAAGTATCACCATTACTATAAAATATGGTCCCTTCTTTCAGAACTCCATCATTCAGGTAAACAGCCTACAACTGTCATTGTCACCTATGTATGTGTATACCAAAAAAACCAAACCCGTTGCCATCCAGTCAATTCCATTTCATAGTGACCCTATGGGACAGAGTAGAACTGCCCCATAGAGTTTCCAAGGCGTGCCTGCTGGATTCAAACTGCCGACCTTTTGGTTAGCTGCCATAGCACTTAACCACTACACCACCAGGGTTTCCAATGTTTCTTTCCATTTTATTAGTTGAAAACACATCAGATAAGGAGGATTAGGAAGGAAATGAGACATAGAGTGTTACAGTTCTTTAATATACTGAACTATATATTTGAATTAAATGCACTAAGAAGTAAATTTTAAGGTTCTCCCATTCTAACACAAATTTGGATTATGTCCATGAAAAATGCATTTTTTTTTTTCTCTTTCTCTGTTTTAAATTCTTATTGCCCCATGCTTCCTGGAATTTAGGACTGAAGGCTAGGGATTTCAACTGATTAAGTAACTGCTCAAGAGAACCACATGAAGATTCAAACTAGCCTCTATAAACCAAAACTCTTCTGAATGCCTGCCTGTAGCATGCCAGGTAAGAGAAAGGCTCTCTTAATTAAACCAGTGCCAATTTTAAGACCTAGAACCAATGCTTGCAATGATTGTTTCATCCTTTCTTTTGCCCTAGGTCATAAAATAATGTAAAATGTGATATGATCCATTGAAAAAACATCTTAAACACGTCTCAAATATAAAATCTATTTTTAAAGCTCTGAAATCATTCCTAGTCTAAAAGCAAACTGCATCCAAAGAGTAGATTTATATCAATTCTCAAACTTGTCGAGGTAAAGACAACAGGGTAAAAGCACAATTTCATAAGTTATTTTACCATTAAGAGTAGTATCTTATTACAAAAGTATAAATGGTATATGTAGTCTAATAGAAAAATAAAAAGCTTGATACTCATGATTCATGATTTTGCTATTTTTTCTGTCGAAATCTTTAGTTTTCCAAATGTTTAAAGACTGTACCAGCAAAGATCACTTGGGAGCCATTTCAGGATGGACAATAAATAGACTGTATTCAAATATAGCACTGAAACCTAAGATAAACAGTAGAAAAAAGGTTTCTGCTACAAATCTAATTTATAACTACATATAGTGCTTTAAACATCATGGCATTAACAGGCAATAATATTATCTGGCATATAAATGACTGACTCATTCCAAGTAGCTCACATAGTAGTTTGCAATGAGCCAAGATGTCATCTTGAAAATATTGCCTTGATACAAGCCGCTGGGAACAGGAAAATCAATTTAAAGGACAGTAAATACGCGCAGAGAACAGACAGAACAACTTCCATTTTAGAGAGCAGACAGAAAGGAGAATGAAAATTAAAGCCAAAGCATCTTTGTTATATTAGTTACAAACAGCAGCATGGTTTAAAACTAGCAGAAGAGAAAAAAAATCTACTAAAACCAAGTATCAGAGAATATGTTAGAGACGGGTTGAGGGGCAAGAGGAATTCATCTAAATAAATTCTTTCATAAAAGTACATTCACGTTTTTGGTGGCTACAAGAAGGAAGGCCTCTGGCAAAACACACTAGCTAGAAAGTCAGAACAAGGGCTTGCATGTTAGAAGCACTGCATTATCCAGCTTCAGTGAATCTTTTCAGCATCTGTTTCCATGGAAACCCTAGTTGTTGCCCTTCCTCCCATCAGTCTCCAATATTCCAGCCACCTTTAATCACAGTAAATCTCTACATTGTCTTGCAAATGCTACTGTGTAGCTTGGCCAACTCCTTTTCCTCCAGCCCAGTTGCCAGTCCTTTTATCTCTGACCGTTCAAGGCTCAACTCAAATATCACTTCCTTCCAAAAGTCTTTCTTGACTCTCCCAGTTGAAGTTAATCTCCCCAAATTATAGACTACTGGAGTGGCCAAAGATTTTAGACTGAAGTGGCTGCGCTTCCTCATTTTACAGCTGATTATGATTTTAAATACCTTAGTTTGTTTTGTACTTCCAGCAGCACTTTCTAAGACTGCCTTATCTTGATTGTAAATTTCTTGAGAATAGAGATTACATTTCATTAACCATCCAGTCCCTACAACACTTAGCACAGCACCTTATACATGGCAGGTTAGCA